TATTGTAAAAATTACTATTATGAAATGTATTTCTTCGTGATTTTATAAGTCTTGTTCATCTATAGTTCCATCACAGTAAAGGTGAATTGTAGTCGACGACGACGTAGCAATTTCTTTGAGTTTTGAGCGATTTAATTTGCACGAATACTGCTAGGCATTGAATTGAAGCGCGTTGATAGAATTCCGTACTGGGTACAAATCACAAAACATTCCAATCCCTCTGGTTAATTGAATCCTGTAGGCCTTCATTAGAGATGGTGGGGGACGATTCGACAAAAACGAACTTTTACGGAAAGGAGAACGTCGGGGTACCGACAAAAACCACAAATGACATTCGGGAGGTGGCACGGATCGAATAATTACGTCGCCGCGGCTGATGCTCAACTTGGCTTTCACACTCCAAACATCGCTCCTTCATAAAACTTTGCGTAACTTCTCACGGCCTGAATTATTACATGTAAAACGTAAGTGCTTAACAAACTTTGTCTAAGTGAAAAGATGACATGGGTACCTAAATACTTGTCGCGTGTCATTCCGTGTTCGCAATCAAACACCAGACACGAGACATGGTTTTATGCAAAACTTTGTTCAAAGAGCCCTTTCAGACTTATAATATGTAACGCTGCACAGTGAACAGAAAGAGCTTGCGGGGAGATTTATTCCCTCGAAATTGTCAACTTAGCATTCGACTGAAAGTTGCTCGGGGTAAAAGCAGAGAGAGGACTAGTTGAGATTCAAAAGAATTCCAATATTAGTGGGAGCGGCAAATCGCGAAGACGAGTGTCCGCGGGCGAGGCTAGCGGTGCGGCTCGGCGCGGCGCGGCGGCGGCAGCAGAGCGCCGCACAACTTCGACATCGACCATTGCTGAATATGTTAATGTAGAAGATGGCACGCTCGCTGTCGCCGCAATATCCTTACTTTCAATTCTCAACTCGCTTGCTTCATCGTTAACACATTCTTATTGAGTTTATACCGAACTGGAAGTCAGTTTTATTGCTTTTGTTACTCAATTTAAAAATTGCTTTTTGTGAATATTTATTTACGAACAAAGACTCCCAAACGTATGAAGTTCTATAATGTTTTATTTTCTTTAATTAAGATCCCTCATATTCGTCTCTTTAATGTACAGATATCAGTGAGCGAGTGTGAGCATAGCTCGATCTCGACTCGCACAACAATTCACTTTGAAAGGATTTCTGGGGGCCTAAAAAGGTAACATTGGATGAATCATTTCTAATATGACAGATTTGATGAATTGTTAGAGAATCACCTAAATCACCATAAAATGGTAACAATAAAATATGAAACATCTTCAATTCGTTTCTTATCTGAATCATATTAGATGCCGATGTTGCTACATAAGAAATATATAGAGAGAAAACGAACCGTAACTTTACCGGTTTTGTTTATCTTGTGTTTTATTATAACTTGAATTAAAAATTTTCGATCCTGAATGTTTTTTAATTATAAGATTTTCACATATCTATCAAGAAACTAGAAAATCCATTAAAATACAGTGTGAAAACTACAAACAGATTTTGATTTTGTTTTTCTTATTACCTTTTTGCTGGCAATGACTGGTGCTCATACGTCACGTCAATCAGTCACACTGTCAGATAAACAGTAAATTTAAACTTCATTATATACAAACAAATTTGTTAAAAAATATTAAACTCTTTAACTTAGACATTATTTCATTGGGAAGTAAGTAACAGTGAATAGAGTTCGAGATGTGAATGGAATTCGAGAAGTAAATTGATACAGAAAAGGGCTCCTCCCTTACCAAGGCGAAGATTGAACGCTATGGATTTTATCTATTAAGAAATGATACACGTTAAAAGGTAAATATTATTATTTATTACTAGCTTATTTATGTACTAATACTAGTCATTAATACCGAGCCAGACACTCAACAATGGCACTACGCCCAAAAACATTGTCGGCTCGGAATACCGTGGAAAGGTGTATCGAAGTATTTAAATCTCGCTGGCGATGTTTAAGTATTGGTTCATCGCAAGATACACTACAGCAGGACAAGTACATTTGCATGTATTTGTGTTAACTGAAACAATGACGTGTTGTTTTATTGTAGCTTACCATAAATCAGGCAATGATAGTAGCTTTAATATGATAAGTAAGGTAAAATTCGCAACTTAGAAAAATTTAATTTCATTCATCATGTTTCATTTTCAGATATCCGATTTTTTTTGGACAAGCCTGCCACATCCTTCCCAAACCGCTGCGACTCCTGTAAGCCAGGATCTACAGTAGATGACACCAGAACACTGAAGTCCGGCGCGTCCCAGGGACATAATTAACTGTCTTGGATCCCGCTACGAAATCAGATTCTGATTTATCAGAAGACATTATAAGAGGAGAGGAAAAAAGCAATAGTTTGCACTTCCCTCGGTTACTTTTAGTTAGTGATTATGAAATAAATGTTTTAAAATTAGTGACTTTATTGGTGTGAATGATATCTCTATCAGTTAAAATATCTCTCTCCTCTCTCTCTCTCTCTTCATGTTCCAAAAGGTTGTACTATGGCTATAGACCTAAAAAACTAAGGCAAATAAAAACAACAAAATTTTCAAATCGTCAGATACGTGCTGACCAAAATCTATTTATTTATAAGTCCGATTCGTACTAGAGAATTAGTATTAGTTCTTGCACTCTGTATAGTCGTATCCTGAAACACAATTTTAATCATTAATATTTACTATATGTACAGGATTACAATTTATAGTTTTATTTTATAACTTCAGTGTAAAACTTGTTGAAAAGACATACTGACAATGAAATAACCCAAGGTATATGAAGATACAACTTGAATCATGCCTATTAGTAATATACGATCCAGAAGCGTTAAGTATTAGTGCACTTAATACCTTAAACAGAAATAAATGCATCTCTATTATTTTCTTGAACGAATCTTAAGGGTTAATTACAACTTGGTTGTATAACTACTTTAAGTAATGAATAGTTTGGTGGCTACTTATCTTGCACACAGTACTTATTCCACCACGTCGAGAGGCTAAATATGCTTCCAACTCTTGGGATTATTTTGCGACACACACTATTATTTACGCGAAACAATCCAACATATTCAGGCTCCGGTATTTCAAAAACAACTTGCATTTCCTGAAGAGTTTCACTTCGCCGACGATATGAAAACCTTTCTAAAACACGTGCATGCTCCAAAAAGTTTTCAGAAAGGCCTAAATCTCCCATTTTTCATTACTTTATTAAAAATATAAACTAGATGAACTGTAAAATGATGCCCTCGAGTAACATCTGACAAATCTGCTTATTTGACGTATAGGAATTCACTCTTTGCAAACCATTTTACGAATTTCCATTCAAAAGTGTCATATTAGATGAATTGCAAATATGAAACACTTTCAGTTCATATTATGAATCATCGAAATGTTGTCTTTTTATGACATGACATATGTCACATATTATGATTCAGATATGAAACATACAATGTTACCTTTTTAGCCCCCCTGTATTGTGTACTAGATTCACGAACAGTGGCGCGTGGTCGTACGTCGACAGTGCACTGTCGCACCGCGCCGCGCTCTCATACCATCCACTCATTCTCTATACAATACTTTCGGCTTAAGTAAATTTAACTCGCTACTAATTAAATCTGGTTACATTTTATTTACAAAGATGAAGGCTTCTAGTTCCTAGTAGGGATTTTGTAAGTTTTCAAAATGGGATACTAGAGTGTTCCCAATCTACTAATAAAATAATAGATAAATTAATCATTCAAACTATGCGGACATGGGATGGAGTCTACAAGGCATACCTTTAATACATTGATGGGACAATAATGCTATTAATGTGATTTTTAAACGACTTCATGTTTACAGGTTACGAACGATTCAGTTACCACTGGAAATTGCAACCAGTATCATTAATATATTATTTTAGTGTTATTTAAAATGATAGAATAAATGTTTTGGTATATTGTACTGGTGGTCTTTTTCTATGTATAAGTATCATATTTTAGAAGTTACTGTGCTTTGAAAGACTGGCTAAAAATGAGGTCAGTGCTTCACTCACGCAAAACTTTGAATGTTCAAATTAATTGAACATAATCTTAGATCTGTTGAGCCAAAATGTCACAATGAGAAATTATTTTCGCTTTTTCTGACAGATAAAAAACTGCCTTTAGGGAGTGTAAACAATGGGACATGACAAAATACAAATGAGAAGCTTATCTAAGGCTCGCTATTTGTACGGGTACCTTATATTTTATAGCCATTTTAAAATGTACTTAAGTCATTCACAATTGACAAGAGTAACTATGAACAATACCGTTCATTTAATAACGTACACGGTGGTATATACTCGTAGTTGTGGTTTAGTTGTGTCTGTGGGATAACAAGAGAGTATTTAATCATTACATAATCTTACTTCTTACTTAGACGATAGATTATGGTCTGGTATATAACACAGGTTACTTTATATCCCATAGGAATGCGGGCGAAGCCGCTGGCAGAGGCTAGTATTGGAACATAGGGCAATTTGTAGTTTATACTAGTCATTTTTCAACATTAATTGTCTATTTTCCGTTTAATTGCGTTTGTCACGACTTATTTTTTTACACATTATACTGATTTAAAATGCAAATATTACAGATGCTTTGAACTTAATATATTGGTCTATAAATACATTGCTTTCGATACGCTTGATAATTTCCATCGAGGCCTACGTCGTAGCTCGTAGCACATTGCGTAGCAAGTGTTGTAGCGTGCTCACTAGTGCTCATATTGTTTGGATTTCGCTTCAATATATTGGTATGATATGCAATTCATATTGTAAAAAATATGTTAAGTGCATTAACAATTGATAATAATACATAACTTTCATTATTACTATACAATACACAGTTAACAGTACTTTGTGCACATTTTCTCAAGTTATTTTATTTGAATGTATTTACGTTTTCTGAGATACTATTTTAAATATAAGTAAAAATTATGTGACTCACCATTACTGCGTTTATCTTGAAGTCCATGTGGTTCTTGACCTCAGCGGCGAGCTCGCGCACGAGTAGCAAGCCATCCTTCCGCACAACGTCCACGTTGTACTCATGGTATTTCTGGGAATACACAATAAATGTTATTATGTTATTTAACACGAAATTAACAAATAATTCTAAGAACTAATAGCCATAACTGTTGTAGGTAACAAGGCTCGGAGGTTTAAGACGCTGGCTTCTCATGCATGAGAATGCGGGTTCGAAACCCATCCAACGGCAAGTACCAATGTGACTTATTCCGAGTTATATGTACTTTCTAAGATTATTTAGACACCACTGACAAACTGTGAAGGAAAACATCGTGAGGAAACCTGGGCTTATAATTTCTAATTATAAGTTTGTAATCGCAAACCCGCATTGAGCAAGCGTGGTGATTAATGCTCAAACCTTCTTCGTGTGAGAAGAGGCTTTGCTCAGCAGTGGGCAATTATAGGCTGTTGATGATGAACTGTTGTAGGTATGAGAGTTTAACAATTTTTATTACTCGTTACACATACTCGAGTTGATGAAAATAAAATAATACATACACATCAATTTAAATTCGTTTTAAGTACATTTTAGTTTGCACTTTGACTGTCAATGTGTGGAATGTTTACATTAACGATGTCGAACTGTAATTTAAACAACGTGCAACGTATCAAACTTCATGCTGGCAGCTGTGTGACCAGAGTAGTAGAGACATCATGAGCTGCACCCAAATTATCTCCCATCAGCAAATACATATGAAGCTTAACAATAGTTCACAGCAAATAGACTAGTGCAAGTAATATCTGCGTAGAGCACGCGTAATTTAATGCTTTCACGAGCACAGATAAACATTGGCAGGCATGTAGCGTTCGCATAATTTGTGAAAATGACAACAATCGTGTCGCATTCGCGCTACATTACGCGTTGAGTTATTGGTTCCCAACATGGCGACGGCGGCGGCGGTGCGCGGGGCGAACCGCGCGCGACTCGCCCGAGACCTGTCAAATTTAAAAATGGAACGAACACATCCGGAATTTGGCGGATGCTGGCTGCCAAATTATTGTTATTCGGCAGAGGCGCTCGCTTCGTGCTGCCTTGTTATTGAATTTTGGATGTGCCCGATGTCGCCTTTGTTGTACTATCAAATCTAACGAGATGCGTCACTGTGCTTATAATATTTTTTTATTAACGTTTCCACCGACCGCTTCAACAAAACCGCCGCTTATCTGTCTCGGAAACGGAGCCTGCAATAACACAGTTAACTCCTACCATCTCTTAGATTAAGGACGAGCGAGGAAATAAAAAGCAATACAGCTTATAGACAGCCGGTAATACGTTTTACGGGAAACCAGCTGCCGCTCAGTCAATAAAGTTCGTTTTAAGGGTACCATCGGCGGCGGATGGGAAATGGCGGCGCGCCATAGAGACGTCCGTCCGCTGCCCACGACACTCCCCTTCATATTACATTGTCTTCAACGACACCCGGAGATCCCATTTAATCGATAGCCTACTTGAGCTTTATAATAGGGGGAAATAGATAAGTGAAATCCTTGCTTAAATATGGTATTTGGCGGGGAAAACTTGATGACTTGTTTCGGAGGTTCACGTTACATCATTAAAACAAATCTCGATAGAATTGAGAGATGTCATTCCTAGTCTATCAAGGAAAACGATATTAATTGTGCAAATAGAGTGGCAAGCTAGTTGGAGTCGAGTGGCCGAGGAAGGGTCGTGGTCGACGGATATTTGATTTAATCCCGCCCTGTACACGAAGTTTATTTGTGAACTAATAGGGCTGCCTAGTAGCATTTAACATTCCATAAATACTTTCAAAATTTACTAAAAAATTAACCGAAAGATCAAAGTTGAGTTACACATATCTTTTAAGTACCTATGAAAATCAATGTGAAGCCCACATTGATGTGGACTTAAAACTTAAGGAACTTAAACGTGAAGCCCTCTACGGAATCTTACTCAATATTGATAAAAGTTTATTAAGCTTTCAGTTTCTTGTAAAAAATTCAAGTGTTAATAAACAAAAAATGTGCTTACGTGACTTTTGGGCGCCTCATGGGAGGGAGAAATTACTGACCCTTGGGCCCTAACCCGCAGACCAACATTATGTATGAACGGGGGCTGTTAATCGTCCCCCATCGTTTATTATTCTAATGGAAGTAATTTAATAATATCAGAGCTTCCATCCAAAATAAGCGCTGTATAAAAATTAATATTATGTAAACAAAACCAAACATTCCAGATTCCCGCCAATTTAATGGCACTTGTCAAATAACGACTTACTTTTTGTTTTTGTTTCTGACACATGTCTTGATGGCCAGTGGTTTTTATTTACTTTACAGAAGTTTGAGTTTTAATTACATATTTTCTGTTGCAGGAATTAAATACCTAATACTTCGTCTTATTTGCAGGAAATTATATTAATATATTGACACATTTTTTATTTTTCTTAATATTTTCTGTTGTAAATAAATATTATTAACTCGCTGATACTGGCTGTCAGCTTAAAAAATGTACGCACATGCCATTACCATTTATTTTTTATTTTCTTTTTTTTATATTAATTAATGGTCATTTTTCATTACGATTAGGCGAAAACGTCCAGCAATTTCTTATCAAGATGTCAAACCTTCTTTTAAATGAATATTCATTATGTACACAAACCTTTTTTCTAAAATACTTTTAACTAGACTATCTTATGCAATTCAATTAAGAAATGAGTACAAAAGACGTGATGTTAAGTTGTACATTGTCGTATTATTTGCAGCCGAGAAACTTTATAATGTAAATACATTACGGCTAAATCAAGGCCTGTTTCTAAACAAACTGCACAGTACAAATGTCACGTTTGTTAAGTTGTAACATGCCTAAGTCACTGAGTCACTAATAAACCCTGAAACTCGTCGAACATCATCAAAATAGTCAATTTATTAGGTAGTGTTGTATTTAATTCGTAATTTAATCGGTAGGTCGGTCGGGCGGGCGGCGGGCAGGCATCACTGCGGCGCGTGGTTGCATAACGGCCGTACTCCCCGGCCCGGGGGACCCCGGACACATTGGCTAACAAGGAACCTAAATTCAATTAAGGCAGTTAATTTAATCGGCTTTGTGTGTCAACACCACCCTCGCGGACCTATGATTAATCCTATGTATTCAACTATTTTAAGTCATTAAGGAGCTAAGTCTCTAAAAGTAGGTTGTTGACAACATTCCGTTTGTATTTAGCTAATTATCGAAGCAACCTGGTAATTTACTTGCGTATAAAGCAAATTACATTAAAGAATTTATTTCATTCATGAAACATGAATTCTATGAGCTTAAGTTATTAGGTTTAGGGTCTATTTACGCTTTGTAATCACATGTACATAATATTGTAAACACTATAGAGTAGGTGGCAAGTATGTAATACTGAAGGTAAGCATTGCTACCAAAACATCGATTCCCAGAATTCTCGAGCAAAAGTTCAAAAACTGTAACCCTGGGCTCGATTGTATGGTTTCAAAGAGTGTGTCACATGCGTATACATACATATGTATACTGTATACTGTAGATAGGAAATCTGCCCCTTTTGCGACTACGGCTGGAAGACCCGTATTAGAGTATTATTGAACGCCGAATTAGGAGCCTTATACTTTGTTGTGTGTGTTATATACTATGTACTAAAACCTGATTCAGATTAGATTTAATACCCTATCTACAATTATTATGCGTCAATTAAATTACAATCATCATATATATTATGCGCTGATTTCATATGATCATGCGCAGTTTAGGACTATAAGTCTTGAATATTCAATCTACGAGATACTTGTTTAGTAGATTAAAAATATTGCAGTGTAAATGTTCATCATTAACATTAAATGCTTTCAAGTAACAAAATATTTATAAACTGATGTAGTATGTGGTACAGTTGAATAATCAACTATGTTAAATAAAAGCAGTAAAAAGTGCGGCGTCATGGTCGAGGGCCGTCGTTCCAACGTTTCTTGTGCGCTGGACAGGACTTTCTACTCCGCCCGGCCGCATTTGTGTGTACTACACAAGGGAACTCCATTTGCCAACAAAAAATATGTAGTGAAAAGGGCAGGATCGCCTTGTGTGCTGTACAATCCTAAGCGAATTCCAAAACACGAACCGATGGGAAATATATTAGGTGGGCGCGCCTCTCAACAGCTCCAAATACATAGAATGGAAATAAATAATGGCGGTCGGTGGTCGCGGACGAGCTGCGATCGAAACCGTTCACACCCTGACTTTAATATATGGATGTGATTGGACTTAATCTTGATATTATTATATCTATTAATTAACCATATGTTGGTAAAAATCTAAATTCTCATTCATAGTATAATCTTTCGTGTCGACAGGGATAAAATATACATCATGGATAATATAATTATATAGGTTCCTATATGATAAAATATATAGGTACACCTAAACCAATAAATAGGTCCACTCTTAAGAGTGGACCTATTTATTGCATATACATATACATACTTACTTCATAATTATTTAAAAAATTGCATATACATACTTCATAATTATTTAAAAAATGTGATAATTTACTTTTTATTAAAACATTTTTGTGATTTCAAATGGTAAAAATCACAAAAATGTTTTAATTAATTTTCCATAACAAAATTACCGAGTAATTAAAGAATATTCATTTTTGACACGAATTCAAAAGAAAACGTCGTAATTTGCTAAACGAAATTTTAATTAAAATGTACACAGTTATTTTTAAGAAATACAACGAATTCCTTGGATAGGGTAATTTTTATTGGGCTCATGATTTTAATTATGTTTTAGAATACCGCAGTGTTACTATTTACAGAAAATGATTGCATAATTTTATTTAATGTAGCATTCTGTTTAGCGATGAAACTCTATTAAATAAAACGCTGAAACTATAAAAAGTTATAAGCCCATTTGTCGACGGAAAGAAACATTAAGTTTTGTTATTTTTCCTCTAAAAGTTAGAATACAGTCAAAAAGGTGAGTGCCGATATGTAACGCAAGGATGGGCGCTTTTCTTCTTTGGCAGAAGTTTTAAAAAGAATGAAAGGTGTTCGTTGCTATTATTGTGGAGCACAATGGGCCGGGGAGAACAAACGCTGCCGAGCTACTACGCACTTTACTCTTGTATGACTTTGGCTTTTCGAGATTGTACAAGATATACATCTGTTGCACGTCATCCGTCTACTTAATATGCTAACGATCACTTATATTTCGTGAACTTTAATGTAATTTTTCATTTAAATTGAGCACTTACTTAAATTTTTTAAATGATGTCTCGTAAAATACTCTCTGATTGCCTCGGAGCAACGTTTAAAAGAACGATGTTTTCGTGCAGTTTATCACGGCCCTATTCAATGAACCCGTCGTTAAAATGTATTACGCAGGTAATTCACCTCTGGGGACAAAGTGTCGTCCTCGCCAATTAAATTTTAATTGCGACGGCTTGCCAAAATGCCAAACTTTTAATACGTAGCAGCGATTAATTAAAAATGTATCACCAATGAAATTTAAGTTTTCGAAAGGCAAGAGCGACGCGAACCGAGCGTCTTGGAATTTCATATTCTCGTTAGAATGCCGAGATTGAGCGTGCTGGAGATTCATTTCACAGTAAAACTTCATTTTGAATCGGATTATTGCAATCGTGAATGCGTTTTTGATTTCTATGCTTTTATGCTTTTTGCCCTAATTATTTTTGACTTTTTTATTTATTTATTATTTATTTACAGTCACACATTCAACATAAAGGACAGCACACACATTTACAACTTTGAATTACTTAGGTACCACATATAGGTCAAGATATTTTTGTTAGTAGTCTTAGGATTTCATTTTATCAAATTGTAAATCTTGTTGCTGTAAAGTTCACCGCGCTTAGAATGTTTATCTTCCTTATCATTTTGCTTGGCTGACACATACCCTCGACTCAACCGAAACAATGTTCATTAGTTCTACCACGCTACAATAAATTAAGATTACCCCTAATTAAACCCTAACTGTAATTACCTTAATAAAATTAAGAGACGAAGCTTAACAAACTCTGCTAATTTCAATTGTCCACTTGTAATCTTTTGAAGCGAGATTGTCGCTCTCCGGGCCGGAACTGGCGCGGCGGTTGCCAGAGGCGCACTCTGGCGGCCGCTCATAGTTTAACCTAATTTGATTGTAGAGTGAATAGTGAAGGCCTGGACCTTCACGGAGTAGTGGGTTTAGGTCGCTCGCCTCCTTTGTGAGATGTGGGGCAAGGTAAATAACAGATACAACTGAAGAAATTAACGTGCGATTCGACGGAGTCAGAGCCATGTTGTTTTTTGCTATCGAGTCGAATTGTCTTCCCACAACATTGTTGTTTAATGTTCCGTCTTCAAAGGAAACATTGTATCTTCAATGCGCACAGTATCTGGAAATTTTTTTTTAGTACACAACAATTTCTGAAAATCAGTCCTAGCTAGATTGATTTATTGCCACCGAAGCCTCAATACAAAATTTTATGAAAATCGTTTCAGCCGTCTCCGAGATAGTTGATATAGATATACAAGAATTGCTCGTTTAAAGATATTAGATATACTAATATGCATGTGTATGAAGTTACAGTTACTAAGCAACCAAAAGGTTTTATTATCAGTAAAAGCAAACATTAATAAAGAAACTGTATTAGATAGAAGCGAAGGCACGTAGGAGTAAACAACAACAATAGAGAAGCTAATAAATAAATACAAAAGTTAATAATATAAATGATTTATTGAAGTGATAGCGAGCTGCGGGGGCTGCCCGCTAATATTGAATAAGTTGCGGTGCCCAAGTTTCCCGCGAAACATCATATTATTACTTGGACAGCCGCGATGTACACAGAATTTAGATTGCTTTATGTTTTATAGCAACGATCGATACGATACGTAATCATCTGTTAGTTGTGAAACATTTTTCTTTAGCTACTTCGTCTTTTTAATCATTTCTTAGACATTCATTTATAAACTTTTCTATTAAACCGTATAAATCACGTTTTAGTTATGTAAGTTATGACTAAATATTACACAAAATATTCCTACATCCTTGATTTCAAAATACAGAATCACATTAAAGTAATGAATTCATAAACGAATTAATATTTTGAGGAAAGTGTAAGTACTTATATTCCAAAAGTATAATTTAAAAGATAACAGAATTTGACATACATCATTAAACAAGCGAGCAAACTAAACTTTGCCATCATTCAAAAAGCTGAAGGAAATTGAATTTCCTTGAAATATACGGTTATATCAGCGTGGGATCACGCTCATAATATCTGAATATTATATACATGAGTAGCGTAATAAAAGTCGTTCCCTAACCCGACTGGTGTCTAGACTAAATAAATAATATCACAGACGAGTTAAGTAATCACGTACCTACCGATTCTTTTTCAAATTATGTACTCAATCTCCAAAGAGTTTTGTAATTAATATCAATCAGGGTGGTTTTAAGAATAAAACAGGCAGAGTAACGACTTATTCTGTTTAATGTTAAGAACTGAACTAATAATTCTAAAACATGGACTTTTATACATTTGGCTTAACAAAGAAAAACAAAATATAACCTGACTTGCGGGTAACATCAACTAAATTCTTATATCTCGAACACTGACTTCCGGTTGTGCTATTTTATACAATATTAATTAAATTAGGTTCCAAAAGATGGCAGTGTCCTAATAATTACAAAATAATATTTTAGCAATTTAATACAATACTACAAATAGTAACACTATTGACTTCCTATTGCAAGGTAATATCAATCAGATTAGGTTCCGGAAGTCATAAGTGTTGTAACATCTAATAACATTAGTGTAAATAGCTAACATAATGAACTTGTACTAGGTACGAGTTTGGAGCATGGTAATCTAAAATATGGTTTTCACAATAGGTACGTATTGTTTTTTATTTCGGAATCATACTTTAGTGGATACAAAAACACATAAGAAACAGTAATAATTCAACAACTAAAACAACGGCATAAAATATATAATTAGACCACTTATCGCAAATACACCTCACATAAAAAGTTTCGCTTCTAGTGTCACATCTACAAAGAATCGGAAAAGTCCCCACATAATAAAGATCACAAATAGCAACTAATTGAAACCATTAAGCGATCAAGATGCATCGATAAGTGACTAATACCATGCTTTAGTAACAGTAGCTGTGTCCCTATCTCTGGTCGGACACGTAACTGGGTCGCGGGATGTGGGGGCTCTAGGGGGCGTTGGGGGTGCTCGCAGCGCCAGGGGGCGCCACGGAGCGGACTCGTAGTTTTTGTACGTACGCGTCGGACCGGCGATCCGGCTTGCTTGCTACACGCTCTCTCGCCGCCTTCAAGAGAGAAACATCACACGTACCTTCCACGCACGACTTTCAGGAAATGGAAACTTTTTTTTGTTTTTAGTCCGATTTTCACTCGCGGCTTTTATACGAATGCCGAGGTTGATGTATGCTCGTGGTTAGCAAACATTATTGAAACAAAAGCCTTTCTGTGCAGATTGATAATGTACCTAAAGGATGGATTTATTTGCATAAAAATATAAATATTTAATATTGTATGCCAGTAATGACTTGTAATTACACGAATGCAGTGTATGGTGATAATAAATAAAAGCTGTTGTGAGTACTTACATTTTGTATTTGATTCATTTTTGTAAAATGTCTGCCGAATTCCCATAAGTCGACGCCGAATTTTAGCGCCCAGTTCTTGACTCTGTGAACAAAATGAAAATTTTAATGAAAGCTTATAGTGTATCTGTATTCCAAGAATAAGATTAATAGAAGAAAGCGAACAAAATAGAGGATATAAAACTGCGAGGTTCTTGTAAAAAATTAAACATTCATCATAAGTCTGTGAAGGGGAAGTAAATGTGATCGGGGAAACAGGTTAAGCATTTTTTTCCACTTCGTCAAGCACCCCTTATTCGGTGCGAGTTCACTCGTACAATTTATGTATTTTTCGCAACAACCTACGAATGTATAGCCATTGTTAAGGATGATACCAATTTAGTGAATGTTTCAAGCGCGGGCGTCGTATTGTGACTCGAAATTAATACGCGTAATACGATTTAATTAGGATTACTTGTACTCTATTAGAAACTGTATATTTCCAAAAAGGTACAACTATATTTTATTTGTAACCTAATCAAGGTGGTTGTTGAAGGGTCGAAGTCGTTTCTAGGTATAATAATACAAATTATGTATATTTCCGAGTAAGTTTGAAAGTTCAAGGAATTCAGATTAATGCTTTTGTTACTAGGCTTCATTATACTCATGTTGATCATAAAGACTTTAAGGACGTTAGCAATAGGGTAGATTACTAATTTATTAGACACGCATTTTTTATTTTCTTACAGAAACGAATACTTTCGTTGATATGTTGATTTGAAATATCGTGTTACGTCACTTCTATGAAACGTCACGTACGTATGAAAATACGTAGTAATGACGTTTTAGCTCCCACTCCTAAACGGTGATTGCTTTTATCTTAGTATAATTTGATTATAGCTACGACAAAATGAAAAAATACGTGTCTAATATTTTTTTATTACCTAACAACGACTAATTTGATTTTAAATTCTCATACCCTGTCATCATCTCTATACGTAACCACCGGGTATCAGCTGAGGTCTATAGTTTCAGAAATATGAATAGCATACATTGAAATACGATACATAAAAACTATAATAAGTTTAAAAACGTATGGTAGACAGAATCAGCCGGTTTGTACGTCCATCCATTGAACTTTGTGAAATTCAACTTTTATTTTTAAATGCCGCTCGTCCGACGTCTGATCTGTCAAATACGAATTGGATCACAGAAATGTTTTTTATTGCAGGTTAGGTTCATTTGAATCGGATATTGTTTACAATGGAGTTTTCATTTGACTAATTGATTTATTACAGACCAGTGTACGGCTAAAGGTGAATCAGCGTAACGAGTGAATGAGTCAACCTATTGATTTAACCCTCGTATGGAACTTGACACGTTAATAAATTGAATATAAAAACACGTCAAATTCAATTTTATGTCAATATTTTATGGGATTTTCTTTGAAGATTAAATTGAACGTTTATTTCATACAGTTTTATGATTGTCAATGTTAGTTTCTGTATGAATGAATTAAAATTCTTTCGTGTCGTGGAGAGCACGTAAAGACGCATCGAGACGCACGCTATGTCTCACTGTTATATGGAGTTATGATTGTAATTGCGAGTAGTTACAAGGTAAGGCTTAAGAGGTAAAGTGTTTAGTATATTGAGGAATAGCCTAGAAGAGCACCTTAGTTCTTCACTATATTCCTTCGTAATTTATGCGTTCTAACTTATGGTTTACCCTGGCTTATCTGAATAATTATTAAGTAAAGTATTTAGGTGCAAACAATTCCACATTACTTCGTGTGAAAGAAAATATGCAAGGAATCCATTATAAACTACACTTACTATAAAAATAGTAAGTTGCGCGCACAATATAATAATACTAATTACTGGAGCAATCGTGAGGAGGTATGTAACTCCTGAACTATTCAAATATGAAAACGGTACCTCAAAGTTATTTAACGCTAAAGCTCCTTAAATATTTTCGTATTAAAATGTTAAGAGCTGACTTAAAAATTCCAATCTACGTGGAGGAAATTCCAATTTTTATACATAATAAAACTCCTTTCCCGTCCTTTACCATTTAGAGGAGCTTAAACCAGTCTATCTATGCGGGATTATCCCTATCCTCAGCAGTTGTGTGATGAGAAATCGATAGAAAGTGTACTGCACCGAAATGTATGAGGAGACGCTGTCTAGACATTATGTTACCCTTGGATACGAGTCTTTTGAGATTAGAATAACTTGAAGTCGTTTAATATTTTGTAACAAGTTATAATGCGCAGTCTCGGTGTGGAGTGTACTTCAGAAGATATCGCTCTATTTCACCTAGTAAGTACATTTAGGGTTTTTGAACCTTGAATATGTTCTTTATCTCTCCGTTTCTTTATCGCTGATATGGAAAAGTAACTGAGAAGAAAATAATAGGGGTTTTGACTACCCCGTAGATAGTTAATGGAGTGATTTTTTTGTGTACTTTATCAAAATGTCTTCGAAGTCGTTTGCAATGTTTTCGCCGTACCCTTCGAGTTCTTTTATTCATTTCTCTTTTGACCATATCACGTCCCTGCGTATTTTTAAAAGATCTCGCTGATAACATAAGTAATAATAAAGGAAATGTAAAAGATGAGAACGGTTGAGCGAATTTTTGGGCAAAACTTCGTTCTTATTTCCTTATTCCGTTTCGTTTAATTCAAGTTGTTCCACAATGTCCTCATTAGCAATCAGGGAATGTTTCGCGGGCATTGTTCGCCCAAGTTCGGCCGTCACCGGCACCGGTTCGGAATTTAGAATTATTTAAAACGTACGTTTCGGTAGCCGGCAGGTGCGCGGCTCGCAGCCGGCAGCATCTCCGGCCGTTACTTAGATGGGGCGGGGAAGACGGGGAAGCTTACAGCATCCTCAACAAATCACTTTTTAAGACTGCTCGGGCCTTCATTTAAAAACTGTGTAATGATTTTCATCATCTGATGAAAATAGAAATTTCGGGTTTGCTTGATGTCTCAGTAAAGGCACAAGACAATAAGGTTTGTCCTTGTATTTTTTGATAAACTATGTGATTACATTGAAAAACGGAGAAAAGGGTCTTAACACTGCAGTGATCCGCTTAAAATATCTTGTTACTGTAATCGGTTTAACCCTGGCGCTGAGCATAGGGTTTCGCCGGCCGGGGCAGGAGGGGGGAGTAAACCGATTTACGTTTCACCTGAATTTAATATCATTCCTGTGCGTATGACAAATTTCTGTTTAAGATACTCAGACTTAGTGAAATGAGGGAAAATTGAAATGGCAACATCAAAGCGACCTGTTAAATTACTTATCTAATTATTTATGATTGCTGTTTAATTAGGGTTGATCGCGCCGAGGACCTTTGAATTTATAATGATAAAACAAGAAACGATGGTTTGCGTGAAAAAGAAAGAGTGAATGAAGAAAACTCCAATAAAGATAGAAGGGGTTCTATCTTTATGGGAAATACTGTAAAGATATTCTTAAGACTATGAACATTTAAACCTCTTCGAATATTTAAGCGATCGAAATGAACTAGGAACCGAGGTTTCGGATGTAAAAGTAAATTAATTAGAGATAGAAGCCGATGATATCTCGGGTGCAGCGAGTCGATAACGGTTGTTTTATTAATCAGCGTCGGTGAGTGCTGGCAGACAGGGTGTCAGACGCGCTGCGCCCTTACGTAAGGCAGCCTCCGTAGTACGCGGCCGGCACCCCGCCCCCGCGCGGCGTGCCCCCGCACCCGCGCCCCCCCCCCCGCTTTAGATCAATACCGGAGCCGGCGCCTTTGACATGTGCCCCGCGCCGCGTGCCGCTCTGCAAATATTTACGTTGTGGAAACAGATCATAACTAGTTTCATTTGCCTGTTTGTACGCCACCCGCGACCCGCGACACACAAACCACAATAAAAACCAATTTAATTGACGTTTCATTTATGACTCAATTATGCTTTCCTTGATTGCGTCTTTTTAACCTACTTTCAGATTTAACGTTCAGTAATAAACTGAAACCACATCTCACATTCACGTAACAATAAGCTTCATACTCGTTATTTTAATGTAGATGAGAGCATTATATGGTTTTATCAGTCAGTACATTCACTAAAACGTTTATACCGCACGTGGTGTCGGTCAATCATTGATAAGCCGGTATCCACCAGATAAACACTTTAAATTAATTTATACAGTGAATTAACGACAGTCATATGAAATAGCTAGCTTTCATTTTAATAATTTGGTAAAATTATTTTATATTTTAACAAACCAGATATGCTTTCGTATGTTTAATATAAAAGTTTCTGTGTCATGGATAAAATTATATAAGAGTATTTTTTATGCAAAAGTACCATTGGCTTTCTAATTTATATTAATTTACGTGACTATTCAGAGAAACCAAATTAATTAAAAAAGTATTCGATCTTTACCCGCATTAAATGTCCCACTAAGTCCTTACATAGTGCAGCGTAGCATTCAATGCTACGCGAGACGCTACGGCGCTACGAGCCTACGCCGCTTGTGCAAATTGTCTACGCTTCTACGAAACAGTTAATTGAGTTACTTATTGTAACTAGCTAGGGTTTAATATTGCAATCAAAGGTTAGATTAGTTAAATTTCGAGGTAAACAGTGGTACATTATATTACTGGCAGTAAATGAATTAAACAGGTCATATAAATGTATATTAAATAGTTTTCTTTTATGATCAATTACCCGTTAAAATTATTTAATGAAATATTTCATGTTATTGTAAACGTGTTGTTGGTATAATGAGTATTCCTTTGTGGTGTTGTGGTTTTGCAGACGACGGTCCAGTTTGTTGCTAGTGACAAACTGATTCACGACTCTGTTTGAGTTTTGGAACTAATTCGTCCTATGGCGACGCACCAATAATTTTTTTTCGATTTATTACAGTCTAAATGACGTGTAAAATAACTACATAGAAATTTTTACATATTATCTAAGTCTTCCAAATCTATATTTTATGATAAAATTCTTGAACATTTATTAATTAGTGAAGCACGCAATGCAGCGGTAACAGCGGGTTTAAAATTGACCTCTTGCACACATGCGTATAAAGTAGGTAATAGACTATTCTAATGTATCTGTCC